GCCGTCGGCCTGCTGGGCACAGGTGGTCCCTGCCCGGCTGGGTCGGGCCTCGCGTGGTGCCGTGGGCGATCTCGGAGAGGCCGAGGTGCCTCTCCTGGGGGCTGCGTTTCCTGAGGCTGCTGGTGACTTCTGCTGTTGCTGAGGAAGGCAGTCTTCCTGCTTTCCAAGCCGTTCTCTTGAGATTTTCTTCGTTATTCTGCTCGATATTCTTGTCGTAATAAACTGTTTGGCGGGAAGAGCAAACAGGATTTCTCTATGAAATGGTGCCGCTCATTCTGGGAGCGGCGTGTCTCTCCTTAAATCGGTTTGATTGCCATCTTGGAAGTTGTAGGTAAGTCCTTTTTTTCAATGAGACGTCAAATCAGGAGGAGAATAATAAATAAAAAAAATCCTTGCAATCTTGGTGAAGAGCAGTTAGTTGTTTGTTTGGGATAACTTAAACATGAGAGAGTCGGTGCTGAGAGTCGACGTAATAAAGTTACACATTGCTCTAATACAGGAGAGTCGGGAAGCTGTGAAATCTCATTCAGATGTCACTAGTGAAAGCTCAGCAGCTGAGTTGGTGAGGTAGAAGCCTTAAAATCACAGTGACCCTGAAGGCTCAGTCGTCAGGCCCTTAGTCTATTTGTAATGGTGACTTCAACAATACACAACTGTATGTCTAAAGTAGTATTGACATATGGGAGAATTTTTTTTTTTTCCTTTTTGTTTTCCTTCAAACATCAGAGATAAGGTTTCTCCTGCAGTTGTTAATCTGGCTAACAGCCGGGGCTGTAGTTAGCTTATGGTCTACTTGTTCTTGAATGCTTCTTATCTTGACTACAGAAGGCCAGTAAGAGAGGCTTTTGTACGACTTCATTTACCAAGAAGTTTGTTGGGGTTTTTTGTGTGGTGTTTTTTTAAAGATTTCTGTATAGAAAAATGCATCACTGCTTTTGAGTTGTGGGAGGGAAAGTATGAAGAATGCCGAACCAATCAGATTACAGATGGTATGGGTAATTTTGACTGGATAATTTGAGAATATGCTTGCAATGCTGTAATGGTATATTTAAAACTACTGTATTTTAAATAAAATGTGTGATATTTTGTTCTCCCCATCCAGATTACAGGGCCTGATAATAAAGGAATTTATAAAGGCGATCGAGAGTCCAGTGGAAAATACACGTTTGCCGCCCACATGGATGGAACTTATAAGTTTTGCTTTAGCAACAGAATGTCCACCATGACTCCCAAGATAGTGATGTTCACTATTGATATTGGGGAAGCTCCAAAGGGGCAAGACATGGAGACAGAAGGTGAGGAAGACGCCTGGAAAGAAATTAGCTCCGGCTTGGGAGCTTTTTCTTACATGCATGACTTCTGAACTTGACTAGGATTCTCAGAATTCCTGTTTCTTCAAGCTGTCTAGTTAGCTGTTCTCTTGCACAGCTAAAATGGATATGGATAGTTTTTAGACCTCATTACACAATTTAATGCAAAATCAACAGAGAATCACTTGGCCATCTGCAGAAACTAATGCTTTCATCCTTTAGTCTTCAGTTTCGTTCTCTGATTTCTAGTTTGCTCAGCAGTGTGTAGACTCTACAAGCATTAGTTGAGCTTTTTGATAAATGCGCTAATATAAAAATTTTCTCTTAGCCATATAAGTTACTGTTTTATCTGCAGCCTTTTGTCCTGTACTGGTGTTCATCTCTTACACTTTTCTCTAGGTGGTGGAGATACCTGGGATGGTATGTGTACTGCTTTTTGAAAGCTCATTAGCATCTTGTCTTTTGCGTATGTTTATTCACTAACAGCTAACGTTTGCTTTTTCTCTGTAACATTTGTTTGTAGCATGAGAATGTCTTATTAAAAAACTACATAAAAGGTCTGATTCTGAGCAATGCTGAGCACCTGCAAGCTTTCATCAAGAGGTTTATGTACGTAGCAGCTCTTGGGATCAGGTCCTTGGACTGTCCGTGAACAGTTTGTCTTCAAGTGGTTATTTATGGCTAACAGATGATTTAATCAGGAGTTTTAGGTGAAATTAAACTAAACCACTGAACGTCCAAGAACATTGGATATTTTAGATGGTGTTTGCTTTCTGGTGCTAAAGTGGGTGTTGAATAATCAAGGGATTTTTGAGCAATAAGCTTCTTTTAGGTTATTAATTATCGGTAATGTTGCAAGGGGGAAAACTTCAAACTTGTCATTTGCTGTAAAAGTAATAAATGAATGTATTGGGTAACAAGTTACAAAGTTTTATTTAGAAATCACTAACTGTAGCTAGAAAGGCAATAAATTCTTGTTCTTTTTTAGCAAGTAAATAACTGTGTGCATTGAGTGTTTGATATCACTTGAAAAGTAACAAATTCCTAACTTAAAAAAAAAAATCAAAAGACTGTTAAATCTTTTATTGAGTCTGAACATATCTGTTGTAAAGAATATCAGTGCAGCTTTAAATTTTTGTAAGGCAAACACTTTTTCTTGAGTATATTTTTTTGGAGTAGGTTTAAACAATCCCTGCAGCTGTGATTTCTTCTCTTACTAATAAACTGCACTTACTGCAATGACCAGTTGGCCATGAAAATAAGTGATTTATGATATCAGCAAAGTGAGTGTCATTTACACAATTATTTAAGATTTTCATTGTAACTTGTATGAGTGTTATTCTCTGGTCGTCTTTTTGACTGTTCCCCATAAGGTGTGTATTTTGAATAGCTTTTTTTTCAGATTGTGATCTGAAACACTTAATTTATAAATAAAAATGTAATAAGGTAGCTTCGAAGTCAAGTATGTCCCTTCGATGGAAAATGGGTTGGCTTTTGTGACTTTTTAAGAGAGCTGATTGCCCAGAGCGTGTCTGTGGAATGATAACTTGAACTTCTTTTGGTGCTAGAAAACTTTGAAAATTACATGCATAATTTATAAATCTGTAAGTGGACAGTTCTTTGAGCATGAATGTATTTAAAAGATCCTGCAATTGACAGTCAAATCACTAAATCTTGGATCTCTGATCCTTCCGTTTGCTGAACTATCTCAAGCTAGTTTTCTGTTACCGTTGGTTTGGTATTTTCCTCCTCTTCTGCTTTCACATACCAGAACCTGAAGCCAGTTCCTGCCCTCTGCCAGGCGTCTTTGGCATTGTTTCTGCTGAATGCTGTGCTTCAGCTAAACCAGAAGATCACGAGATGTGATATGTTGCTTCAGAAAGTGATCTCGTTTTGCCAGCATCATGATCTTAAGCTAAATTCTCAGTCGTTCTATTTTTTTTCAAGCTTAACAACTAGGAAAAGCTGTATTGTTAAGATAATTTGCTTGGAATATGTTGGACAGTATTGGCAAAATAGATACTAGTGTGTGGTATTGATCTTATGTGTTCTTACATTCTGTTTTTCTGGAAAAGTATGCCCGTATTGTAAACAAGCGGTCTGTACTGACTCTAAATTGTGTGTCTTCTGCCTTCTAGTTGGACGTGGAGAAAGATGTTTTCCCACTTATTAAATACTGTAGAGACATGTTACGAAAAGTGGCACTATGAAAACTAAACTTTACTTTGCTGTAAGGATAGAAAATTTTCAGCTGTACAGACTGCATTTTTCAGAACTTCTGCAACAGGAAATAAAGTGTAACTGTTCATAAATATCAACAAAGTGGTTTTTTGAGTCAATAACAGACTTTCTGATGCTTCTGAACTTATTCTGCAGCTCATCAGAACAAGCTAGAAGAGATGATTAATGAGTTAGCAGTGGCCATGACAGCTGTAAAGCATGAACAGGAGTACATGGAAGTTCGTGAAAGAATACATAGAGCAAGTACGTGGTGTTGACTTAAATGCCTTCTCCCCTCTCAGATGAACTTACAAAATGTGGTTTAAAATAGAATTCCATGAAAGCTATTCCAAGTTAGTAAAGAACAAAATTTAGAACAAGGTCTGAAGGACCTGCCCATACAATAAAGACTGTAGTTGATGCTTGCAGTCTTTTTTAAATTGGTTCACCTCTCATGTAATGAAGATTGTTATGGAAAATAATCTTTGCTTAATTGGTATAAATTCTACAGTTCTTTGAATGGCATATTCATGACGATATCGGTAATGCTTTGGTTCCCAGAAACAGACTTTGGTTGAACTATTACTTCATCCTTGAAGTAGGTGTGGCTTAATAATTGAGCCAAAGTCTTTTTTAAATATTGCATCTAAACAGAGAAAAATTACTGTTATTTCCAAGTAGAGAACATGGTTAACTCTGCAGTTACAACCCTCACTTTCTGAAATACAGCTTTAAAGTAATGACATGATAGAAATATTGGTGGTTTATGTGCAATACCTCAGTTGCAGTGACAAAGTATGTTTTAAATTTGTTTTAAATGCTTTATTACTTACTACTGTTATTTTTTTTTTTCCCAAACAGTTAATGACAACACAAACAGCAGAGTGGTTCTTTGGTCATTCTTTGAAGCTCTTGTACTAGTTGCCATGACACTGGGACAAATCTACTATCTGAAGAGGTTTTTTGAAGTCCGAAGGGTTGTTTAAGAGTACTTTTCCGGTCCTGGATTTCAGTTCACTGTCTACCAAACATCCTGGTCACAAAAAAGTCATTTAGTTTCTGAACCCTCTTTACTGAACTGTAAAACTTATTTGCTTATGTTCCTTCCTAGTTAAAAATGAATTGTTTTTATATATCTTCTGTAGAAAAAGCTGTGCTGAAATCTTGTCACTTAATTGGCCTAATTTTTCCACTGAAATCTGCCTAGTCTGTGTGCTAAGCAAGGTCCAAGCAAGCTGCAAATGCTGTAATTCAACTGTAGTAACAAGCAATGTTGATGTCTTTCCTACCTTTTTTTTTCTGTTTTCATAAGTACTTGCAGTTCTATCTAGGGAAACGGTACAAGGCCCTAACATGACTGTTTGCATTTTTGACATCTTTAACCCTGCAGTAGGTGTTATGAAATTGAAATAATCCCTTCTTCACGTATATAAACTGCCAAGGAGAAGCGATTGGAACTTTATTCTGATAATGAATAGAAGACAGCTGACAACTTCCAATCTAGTATTCATACCTAGTTGATATTTAAAAGAAAGTCTTCAAAAAATACTCTAATCGCATCAACGTATTCCCAAAGTTCTTTTAAATTAAATAGCCAATACAAAAATACATTTTCTCCTTTACTTACCGAATGTGCATCATATGGTTTTTAGTCTTTCACAGGTTTTATATTGAAGCCGGTTGTGTGCAGTGTCTTGGCAAACAATAGTTAACCCTCTGGTTTGTGCAGGTCCAACGCTCCGACTGTTGGCACTTCTGCAGGATACGTTAGTGTGTGGGAAATCGGGATTCCTGATGCCAAAGGGTTAACGGTTCTGGGGGTTTATTGCGATGCTATGCAGCCCTTGTATTTAAGTTAAGTGGCAGTCTTTGCCATTTTCTGATCATAATTAGCATAATGCTAAATACCGGTGTGTTTTCTTTTTCAGGCACATGTAGATTTGTTTTTGTATAAAGTTACTTTCCTCGGTATCTGATGATTGGTTTAAAAATTCAAGAAGCGTCTGATGTGGGTGCTGAGCCAGGATTATGTTGTGACTGATGTATATTAGTTGTAATCATTTTTGGGGGTGGGGTGGGGTCTTTTCCAGGGGGGAGCCTCTACAAGTAACACACAACAGTTTTGTACAATTAATTTAAAATTTGTTACAGGTTTTCATGTTCCAGGTAAAGTTTTTTCAACCTTGGGCAAACACTTGCAGCAGTTCTTCAGAAAGGTGGCTGTTACACCTTATTGCAACTGTTGTGTGCCAATATTTTTGTGTAAAACACTTAAAATTGAATTCAAAGATGTACATTTAAAAATTGCTTGTGAATCTAAATATGACCCAGGTTCGATAAATAAACAAATTCTTTAAAAAAAAAAAGTTACTTTGTATTTTTTTCTTTGCTTTAAGAGGAAGTACAGTTTAACACTCGAAGCTTTTTCATAAAGTACCTCTTAGAGCATCAGGATTCATCCAAAGGCCGTCTCACTTTGTGAGCAGGTAGAAGAAATTGCAGGTAATTCTAAACATACAGCTTTGCTGCTCGACTCTGGGCAGTTGGGGGTCACAGTGCTTCCATATGACCCACAGAATTACTTACTATAATAGGCCACTTGTTAGAAAAATAAGATTTTTGTGCTCTATCC